TGTTCCCCTTCGGTCGTGGGTAGTTTTTGTGTCGTCAAAAAACACAAATCCTTACAATATATTCAAATTTGTTTCATGCAAACTCACATAAAGTATATTACTATGATATACCTATCATCACTAATACAATACTATGTAGTATGTACCTAATAATATAGCGTTTAAGTTTAATTTCATATTTATTATTATTTTGATTTTTTTATCATTTATTAGTATATAATATACAATCTGTAACAGTTGCAATAGACGTCAAACGTAGTGTTGTGTATATTTGGAAATTAGTTATAAGGTATATATACTATATACACATTTCTTTCAGATTTACTTCTTAAAAATAATTGTGGATGTATGTTGATGATGTATTGACCTAAAAACTTAGAATTTAATAGAAGGTCCATCGTATAAGCTGCTGTACCTAACCTAAGTGGTATATTCAATTTGTTAAAATCACAAACATTTGCAAAAACTATTTGTGAGTTCTACATTCATAGAACTTTCAATTTGAATACTTACATTAAAAAGTATGTTATAAATATAACTATGTTTTTAACTGACAAATGATGCACATCTTGCAAACATCTAAATCAAAACCTTAACAATATTCTTAGGACCTTATAAATATATTGAAAATTATAGATAGGTTGTTTTAAAAAACCTAACTGTTGAATTTGATCTCATATTATAACATTATCTATACCTAAATGTAGTAGTTAGATAAGTACCTAATTAATTGAAAGTTTAAGTTTTTGTTGTATTTGCTAAGTTTAATAAAAAAAAAAATATATATACACCTTTTTAACCCAAAAGTGATATAAAATATATTTATTTGTTTATTCAACAAAGGCTACCTACATAATTTTAAGGTTTTTCAGTTTGCACACGTTACTGAATTAAAGGAATAATGTATGTTAATTAATAAAAAAATTTTTAGTTATTCATTTAATATTTATTTATTTTTTAAGTGAATACCAGAGGTTGCTAGGATTTAACCAATATCACATTTACGTTTTATAACTTAACATGATATGTTTATGAATACTAAAACTTAAGTATTTACTAAATCCTACACTCCACCAAGAATTATTAAGAACTATTGATTAAGCGTTAACTAAGTTTTTTTCATGAATACTAAGTTCTTACTATTTTACTGCTTAGTACCTATGAATATGAATACCTAATGGGTAACGTCTTAAAAGTTAACACACTGACTGCCACCTAAAAATACAGTAATTTGAGTAATATGAGTAATATTTATGATAAAATTTGTACCTATTAGTCTAATTTATAACATTAAATTGTTATACCTATAACCAATGGATCATAAATTATATGAATAAATGTGGTGTTAAACAAAATAAATATGTATAAGTTATGAAAAAATTAAGAAACATTTCTTTTTGAGTAGGTATCAAATATTTTATTTTTATTTGAAAAATAAAATTATATCAATATTTTTATAATATTGATCCCATTTAGACGTATGTAGGTAGGTATTGTAGCTAATTTAGGACTGTTGGCCCGGCTGTTTTTTTTTGTAATTGCCGACTCAGCCTCGGAAGGTGTTAGTACGCAGTATGTAACTGGAAATAAACATTTAAAAATGTAATATTATATTTTGTTACTAACAATAAAATATAATTTTATGTTTTTTAACTTTGTTATTGTTATTTACCATTATAAGGGCAATCTTTCCTTCGATGACCCTCTTCATAACATTTTGAACATTCTAAAATCATAAAATATTTAATTATGATTACAAATCACCCATATAACTGTAGTATAATATTTAACTATATTAAATTATAATTGATTTTTTTTATAAATTCTGTTAAGCTGCAAACAAATCTTGGTATAGAAAGGTAGTGTAATAATACTTACGCCCTTTGAAAGCACTGTTCCGCCTTTCACCATCGTCACAGCCGCTGGTACTTGCCACATCTCCATCTGGTACCCGGTCTATGGCGATTATACTTGCACTAGTTGCACTAGCCTCGCCATGCCACCCATTGTTTTGTTTTCTTCCAGTTCCAACACCACCTTCGCTGACATCACCACCACCACGACGGTCGCTCTGATGACCACCACTACCGCTAGCACGACGTCTACTGCCATGATCTCTGTCATACCTACCACCCGCGGCCTTGCCATCTGCGATTATCACCTTGCCATTCGCGGTTAACATCTCGCCACCCTCGATATCCACCTCGCGTCGTTACCATTACGTCGTCCACGACCACGACCACGTTGTTGTTGTTGTTGTTGTGGTGGTTGAACTACCGTTTGGGTAACTTCAGGGGGAGTGGCTAGTTCGGCGTTCAAAGGTGTGCCCAAAGCAGTGGCTTGTGTGGTGACAATAGGGACCACACTACCCTGTAAAAACTTTAAGGTGAAAGTAAATTCCATCTAGAACATAAAAACAAATTAATTAATTTCAACCAGAAAAGTGTTGACTACTTGTAAAGGTAGGTAACAATTACTAGTGCAAGTAGTTAGTACTTAGTTATAATAAGGGCTGTGCATTTAGTGCATTAAAATCTAACAAATTCAGTACTTACACAATTTACTCTAAGTATAGGTATATAAAAATCATAATTTAAAAAATATTAAAATCTAGAAATCTAGCATTTGTGAAATATTTTAAATTAAAGATATTATTAATTGAGTACGTGTGTATGAATGTTATCTGAAAAATTAAAATTAAATAAATAAACTGATGGAATTTAATATACAACTCGAAAAAATTAATAAAAATGAAATAATGACTTATTAAAAAGGCAAAAAAGGATCTAATAAATAAAAAATGCCAAAAAAATTTTAAAATAAACGTTTCTAATGGCAATCAAACTTCAAACTATGTGTCAAAGAAGATAATAATATTTATGTATTTATGTCTTGTCTTACAGTAAACTAAGAATAATTTATTTTTCTTCAAATTCACCGTTCTAGCAAGCCCGGCCGATTGAACCGGAGAGCTATCGAGCTACCGAGCTAATACCTATGGTTCTTTAAACATAATTTAGTGTTTGATGATTGGTCCATAACATTTTATTGAAGAATTCAATTGATACATTTTTAAATGCAACCCGGTTCATAAGAGAAACGATTATGAATTATTGCACAATTAGTTAAATATTTAAAAAAATCAATATATCCTTTCGACTTTTTTGATTGTAATGTAAATAAAATTAGAAATAATTAAATAAGGCACAACATTATAATGTCGAATGGGCTGGTAGGAATTTAAAATCTGGGTGGGCCCAAAAGTCTTAACAGACACTTCGTCCTAGTAAATATTATAGTACCTAATCCTAATATACCTATCCATAATATCTATACTAATGTTAAAAATGAATAATAATAATTATTATTATTTAATTTAAATAAGTGTGAAAAAAGTGACAGTAGTGATAGCTTAGTAATCAGTTCATTTTTACTTTATGACATCTAATAGGTATTTATTGTCTAGTACCTACTAGTTACTTTACACAATATAATATTATATAATATTCAAATACAGATACAATTTTGATGAATGTTATTCAGACATTCGAATCTTTTAAGACTTTTAATTAATTTTTTACAAGACGTTTGCTATGTATGACTGTGGGTTTAAATAACTATTACATCTATTCATATAAATATATTACTGCAGCCTATTTATTAATTGTTCACTAAAAATATTTAAAATAAAATCGGTAGGGAGTATGGACTTCTAAAATGGTTGTAATATTTTTAATTGGAAATCGTAAAAGACGTTTTGAGTTAATGTTCCAAGATTATTTTTTACTTCTTCAGTAGGTACGACAATACCTATTAATTTGTCTATTAAATATTTAATCAGAATTCTAAATAAGATGAATAAAATACCGGTGTTTATAATAGTGTATTTTAGAGCAAAAAGAGTGCAGTATACAATGTAAAATGTAAAGAATAAAATTGGATACAATATCTCAGTGTAACAATACATAGCGGTGCAAAACAATCCTAAAGAAGAAATAATATTGTTTGGTAATCGATCTATCTATATGGCGTATGCGAATTGTTTTGTATTTGGATGGCGAATTCAGACTTTTATCGTAACCACAGAACATATAATGTACCTAATACACACATAGAACTCTGTAGTTATTTTAACACCAACTCGTGTCGATTTATTACACATTTGCTCGTCGTTTTTGAGCTAAGACACTTTAGCAGTTACCATAACTTTTATTTATTAAATGAAATCGACCATTTATACATTGTGAACATTTAGAACAATTAGTGGTTGAAACAACACCAGAGAGTTTTAAAGTAACAAAATATTTCTTCAGGTTAAGAAATAATAATTCTTGTAAAATAGGATCTGATTGTTGTTAAAATATTCTATATTGGAGTGTTGAACTGACTCCCATGTTGTGTATAATTAAACCTTGTATTTACTGTCAAAACAACTACAAACTATGTTCAAGTAGGCATTTAAATGTGATTAAAACAATAGTTATCGTGAATTGAATCAAATACCAAAAATGGGTTGATATAATCATATTATTAAATTTAAAATAACCAATATTTATGTTAATTTATTTTTAATAGGATACAGGATGAAGATTTTATATAGGTATATAAACCTGCATATATATATTATATATATAGTTATACAGGTACATAAATATATTATACCTGTATAAGTATAATATGTAATATAATATATAGGTACATAAACCTAAATATTAAATAAATACGCATGATGGTGTATCAATGTAATAAGTATTAACCATTATTTTATTGTTCTATATAAATACAAATGTAGTGCATATACTTAGATAGTTATATTAATTAAAAATATAGTTATACAAAAACAAAATTAATTTTAACATAAATAATATAATATACATTATACAGTAGTGAATAGATACTAAATTAAAATATTATACATATTTAGATTTTGTTGTATGCCTAGTAATAATGAATATTAAAAAGTGCAAATATATTATAATATGTTTGAACAAAAAACATTATTAAAGTGCATATCGTATTGTGGCATATGTTTTGGAATTGCCTAAAATACGGGGAACTGTTGGGGTAATATCATATAATTCATTAACATAACATCCAGTTAATTTTGAGTAATTGATTGAATTAGAACTATCAATTACTACTTCAAATGCATGAAAATGATTATCGAAGCCAACTGTATAGACAGGATCAAACAAAAAAAAAGGGATTTGAGATTTTCCTACAAATATAAAAACTACCTCACCAAAAATTAATCCATCCAAATTGTTTTCTAAAACCAGAAGAATATGTTTTCTGTAATATATTCCTTTATATTCTAACCAAGAAAATGAAAAACAATCTGTTTTAAATTCCTCAGGTAATTTATCTACTAAATCTTGAGGAAATTCAGTAAATGGATGTACATCTTTTCCCAATCCTAATTTAAGATCTTGTACATCAAGACTCAAATTAGAAAGGAAACGTGCAACCATTTGAAGTTGTAATTTATATGCAAGAGTATACCCAAGATTTATTCGACATGGAATGGCATTAGCTATTGCCTTTAAAACTTTATGTTTTGCTTCAAACCGAATACTTGAAGTTAGAATAATTGGCCCATTTTTTTTTAGAATTCTACCGTAGTGAGTCAAAAGGTGGTACTTGGGCTTTAAATTACTTTTAGATAAAACTAAAAACAGTCTATTGTGTCCAGAAACCAATGAATTTAACAGAACATCACTATCACGTTGAATGTTTGTAGTACAACATAAATCTATAATTTTATGTAAAGTTAAATATAATTTCCAATAAATTGAATCGTAGGGGACTAATTCTCCGACAATTAAACTAAAATATCTTGCTAAACATAGCATTTCTGAAGCAGACATGATAATGCAACCTTTTTTGATGTCAGAGTCTCGAATCAACGGAGGAGTATTTTTCTTTTCAGTTACACCATAGTTAAACATGAGAATTCGGTTATTAAGTTCAGCTAGAGTAAAACAATTTTGTTCAATAAGTCCAGAAATAATCAAAGCCATATCATAGCGTGCTACACCTTCAGGAATATCGTGCATGAAATCACATACAATATTGTCTGTGACATGAAAATTTGGAATTTTGTTAAAAATACATGGTTCGTTTATACCAGTAAGTGAAACATTATGTACTGCAAGGTCTAACTCATAATTTTGTACATTTCTTATAGATAGCTCAGACTCGTGACACATTTTTTTGGTGTCATCTTTGTGCATTCGGCAAATTCGACAATAGTGATTTGCTGAAAAACAACTAACAAACCCTAAAATTGAATTCAAACCCAAATTGTCACCTAATACCAAACCTAATGCAAAATAAACAGTTATATCATTTGAATCTATATTAATTGTAACGCCATTTTCCTGTAAATCAATTATTTCTTTAACAAGATTCTTTGGTCATTAGAAAACTCTCTTCCTCTGTCATCTGAATGGAACAAATATGCTGTAAATATATTATCTAGTGATGAGAGATATTCTGGGGGAAGTCCAGCTATAGTATAGTAAACACACCCCATCTTATGTACACCAGAATGGGATCCTAAAGGATTTCCTATCTCTGCATCATCATAATACAGAAAGATTGGAAATACAGTTTTTCCTTTAAAATGTTTTTTCATTTTTTGCCAAGTTGAACCATTCAAAAATGATGATAAAATATCAGTATTATTTGACGATTCATTTATGTGTTAAGTTATTGTATGGTAAACTCCAGGAAGTTGTAAAAAATATTTTAAATTTAGTTTCATCGAAAGAAGATGACACTGTACTGGTACCATTGCAACTGTATCAACATTATTAACTGTTTTTTTTTCTTTAACATGGCCAATAACAATAGTTTCAGGTTTAAAAAACAATTTGTTTTTTAAAAAAAATTTGGTTCGAAGGTATTCAGTTTTAACGTCAGCAAAAGCATTTTCTAATAAATAAAACATGTCACCAATTTCAGAACTTTGAGAAGTATTACAATTTCTGATGATGGGCATAACTATATTTTTTAAATCTGATACAATGCCACTAGAAAATATATCAATAACACCTTCAATAATATCTTGTAATAATAAACTTGTAACATTAGGTTTCATTAAAAGTTTGGCAATAAAATTTAAAACACATTTTTTAATTTGAATACTATATATACTTTGGTGTTCATCGCCAAAATTAGAAGTTGGTGAAATATTTACAAGTTCGTTTAACAAAATAGATTCTTCTAGTATCTCATAATTATTATTTTGTGTACTACAATGTTGATTAGCACTAGACAATTTTAAATTAGTTATATCATTATAAGGAATATTTACATTTATTTTAAGCTGTGTATCAGATTCTAAAGAACATAAATTCTGATCATTAATCTGATCAGTTACTGTACATGATGATGATGAATGATGTCTAAGCAAATGTTGTCGAAATTTCTTTAATCCAATAAGCTCACGAGAACAAGAACTTTGTTTACAATGAAAAATTGAATGTTTATTTAAATTGTGATAAATTTTCAAATGCCATATTATGAGTGTAATACTGTTGTGTTGAGAACAACATAAAAAACAAATATATTTCAACATATTATTTATTAATGTAACAACTCGTACTTATTAAGAATAATATATCAACATGAGTAATAGAATATTAAGTAAACTTGTCATTTATAGATGACAAAACAGCAGTCATTGAATCATGACCCGTATTCAAACCATACAGGTGTAGTTGTAGAAACATCCACGATTCATGGCATTCACGTGGATAGGCGCAGTTAAAAGAAAAATACGACTTAAAACATAAATCAATTGCTTTCAAAGGGCAATTAAAATACCATAAATGATTGTCTACACGAACATACCACTGATCAATAGAAAAAATATCTTTACCAGAAATTATAATGCATGGTTGTACGTGGGCACCATATTGAATATATTTGACTCTTCTTTGTTGAATCTCTGACTCCAGTTGAGTTATGTTCTATTTAAAAACAAAAAATACATTAATTATATTTATATATATGAAATGTATAATAATATGTAGTATGTACATACAGCAATATGTACAATGAAAGCAGCAGCAGACTCTCCACATGAAGGTTTCCAATTTTTTTCGCACTTTTAAGATCAGTAGATCTAATAATTGTTTCTGTAGGTAGTAAATATGGTATTAGTTGACATTTTAAAATGTTTGCAACACCAATATCTAGACAAAATGAAAATATTAAATGTATTATAATATTATGCTTTGTGTACCTTATAATCATTAAGAAAATATATTTCACTTACTCCCAGATTGTTGAACATGATCTAGTTGTTTCAGAAGATCTTTTGCAACCTTATCTTTGACCGAATTTTTCCTCACACTGACTAATCTATCTGATATAAAGATCCACTTATTTAAAAATGAACTCCAATCAGGAAATAATTCTTGTTGAGTTGGATACAAAATATTAAAATCTTCAGAAACCTATAAATGTTGAAAATGTAAATAATATGGTAGGTATGTAAAAAAATATCATTGTAAAAGATACTTACTAATTCATAGCCTCTTGGACTTTTTAGAATGGGCCAATTGAGAAAAACGTCATACACTGTTACTTTAGAATCTGCATTCAATATTTCTGACTTTCTTATATTGTATGTTAATCTCCACTTATCTTTAACACTATCAAAATTAGCAGATAAACCTTCTTCCTGAAGCCACAGTTTAGCAGCTTTTAAATCATCTATACAAATAAACAAGAAGTTAATAATTTGATTACCTACCCACTAAATATTTTATCTTGGTTTATTTTATTTTTTTAGATTTTATTTTGGCTTAATAATTAAATAGAGCAATAAAATGTATGCATATAAAAGCACTGTGTTTCCTGATATTACCAGAAAATACTGCAGCCGGTTCAATAGAATTAGAAGTAGTTTTTTTTCTGCCAAGTTCTATTGAACCTACACTTCTAAGCCTTCTTGCTACATTTTTCCATCTTTCAATGAGCTTCCCTTTGGCATGACATTGGTGTGTTCCTTCAGATTTTGAAGGAATAAAATAAACTCTCTATAAACAAATAAAAACTTGAGTTGATTATGATTACTAGTTGTTTTTTAACAACATTATCCGGAGTAATTTAATTTGCACAGTGTGTAAATTGGATTTATACTTGATTACCTAACTTATTTTTGGAATATTAAAGGAATTTTACTAGGTTGTAACATACATACTATGTATTATAAATTATATAAAATAAATAAAGAAGTATAAGATTATACAACTACTTACTTCTTTTTCCCGAGGAAATACTTCAACAATAAGTTTGGAAATCTTTCGGAAATATAAGTCAGAACCCCTATAACAAATGTTATTGCAATAATCTTGTGAACGTATACATTTTACTATAATTATTAATTTATAACTCAAGAAATTACTTATATATTATATTATATAGGTAGTTATAATATGGCAATATTTTAAATCACTAACACTAATTAATTATGATAGATTTCATGTTTTAAGTGGACTTAACATCATGGTCTTATCATAGATTTAAATTAAGTATTGTATGAAATAAATGTTATAATTTGAATAGGTAGTAAAAAATAATTTTTAACTATTCAAATAATAATAAATATATTATAGAACAAAAGGTAGGTAATTTTTTATTTAAATTTAACTTCCTAGCACTACCAGAATTGTTTTATACCTACTTGCATTTATCCTGAAATAAATTATTAATTAAAAGCTTGGTAAGGATGTTTTGTGCGTCATCTGACAAACTACCATTATTATTTTCTGAAGATGTATCGGCCGTCGTTTGTTGAATGTAATAGTTCTAACACTGTCTATGATTACAAATGAAAGATATTGTTATAAAAAAAACTGTTAACTAAGTTGGTTTTGAACTATTATTATAGGTACTTGAACATTCCAATTTAAAGTCTTGCAGTATGATGCAGATTTGGGTTGCAGTGCTAAATTTAAATATGTTGAGTTTATTGTTGATGTCCCAGTAAAATATGGTTGAAGATTTAACTCCTCAGAAGTTATATTTTCAATATTTAATTGTTGATTTGGAGTATTATAGGAAATGTCTTGCAATTCAGGGTTTTGAAAGGGTAATACATCTTCATCCAACTCCTATACATTTGAGATTGAATATTTTACAAAAAAAAATTAATAAATGATCCTAGATTTATAAAATACATATATAAACTTTTTTTGGTTTATGCAAGGCATAGAGCATGCTCAGTGGGGCCCATTATTCTTTGAAATGAACGCTAATAATAATAATATATAAGTATAATAAGTTGATAAGTTGTATTAACATTAAGATGAATTATACCAAATAAAATAAATAATTAAGTAATTAATAACCAAACACAATTCACTGGAATTGATTTTATTTGTATGAGATTTGTAACTAGGTATTTATTTTTTAATCTTACAAAATGTGCACCTGTGCTGTGTGTTAAAGAAATAAAGATTTACTTTGTTAAAAAATAAAATAAAATATTATGTTTATGCATTATTAATTATTGGGTGTAGTGGATTGCTTATTGCTTAATAACTAATAACCACGGTATATAATATAATAATAATATAATATACCGTGCTAATAACTAATAAGCAATAGGTACCATACATAGATTTCTATACTAAACCAAAGTCATGTAAACTAATCTAAATACTAAATAGTCTATGTAATTTAAGATCTTATTAATCTAAATTGATCTAAACTATAGTATAGAAATCATTGCTTAATAATTAGCAGAAACTTAAAATACTTAATATTATGTTTCCATAGTAGAGTAGGTAATCTGAAAAACACTATAGGTACATTTATAAAGGGGCCCACACACGATCAGTTTAACTGTGCAGTTTATCACGTATGACGTCATGTCTGTGCGATAAACGGAGGAAACTGTGCAGTTCTGGCGGATTTTTACGCAGGCTTTTGGCCTGCGCGAGATAGTCTACTTTGCACCGATAAACGGCGCAGTTAGATCAGTTAATCGAACAGTTTGCACAGTCTTCTCTAGTCGTTCGACGTTTCTAGCCACGCACAT